TCCCCAACCCCTGCTTTGGCTCTCCTCTGTTTCCTGGCTACCATGAGTTAAGCAGCTTTCCTCGATCACACCCTTCTGCCATAATGTTTCTGCCTTGCCATAGGCCTAAAACAATAGAGCCAGTTGATCCTGGACTGAGATGAGCCAAAATAAATCTTTCCTGCTTTAAATTGTTTTCTCATGGTATTTTGTTACAGAAAAAGAAAGATAATTGTTATAGTTTATATCTATATATCCCTCTAAAGCCTCATATGCTCATGTGTGGGGTTTTTGGACAGTGATTGGATTATGGGGGTTTATAAATGACTTGCTGTTAGGTGGGATCTGGTTGGATCTCTCTCTCTCTCTCTCCTTCCCGCCTGCCATGCCATGAGCTCTTTCTCCTCTGCTGTGCTCATCTGCCATGCTGCCCGGCCTTGAAGCCAGCCACTATGGACTGCAACCTCTACAAACTGTGAGCCAAAATAAGTCTTCCTTTAAGTTGTGGGTGTTGAGTATTGTGTCTCAGTGATGAGAAAGTAACTAAGACACTAACATCACCACCACAGATACCAAATTTCACAGATGCTCAAGTTTTGTATATGAAATGGTGTAGTATTTACATATAACCTATGTGTATCCTCCCATATACTCTAATCTCTGGACTACTTATAATACATAATATTGTGTAAATTCTATGTAAACATTTTTTGATGTATTGTATTATTTATGGAATAATGTAAAAAAAAAGTCTGTTCGTGTTAAATACAGATATAACTTTTCCCCAATATTTTTGTTCCTTGGTATATTGAATCCATGGATGGGCACGACCAACTGCACATGACAAAGGGTGTTTAATTGTCTCTCTACTCAATAATTCATTAAAAATAATTGGCCTTATAAACTCTCTCTTTTGAGAGAGTGGGAATTTTTATGGTTAAATTCAATTAAAAATTTATCTTATGGCCAAGAGAAGTAAAAAATATCTGGTCTGTAAAGCAGTGTTTGCAAAAGGATATACAAGTCCTTCTAGTCATTTGTCTATGGATTTCTAGTTCCTTATAGTGAAATAGCAAGAGGAAACCTGAATCCTAAGTGTATGCTCATTGCCACTAGAGTGTTCTTCATCATTATGTTTGAAGCCTTTTAGTGACAAACTAAGAAATACATTTTTGTGTGTGTGGTACTGAATATTGAACCAAGGGCTTTTGCACTGAGGTACATCCCCAGTCTTTTTCCATTTTTAAAAATATGAGACAAATCTCACTAAGATGCTAAGGTGTCCAGGCTGGGATCAAATTTGAAATCTTCCTGCCTTAGCTTCCCAAAGTGCTGGGCTTTTAGGCATGTGCAACCATGCCTGGTTTCAATTTTTTTAAAGTCATGAGTTCATATAGATATTGTCTATTCCATTTCAAAATCACGTTTCCTCTCCTTTTTCAATTCCTTATTGTATTTCCCCTCCCATAGTGAGAACCCTAGTTTAAACATTAATATATTGAACTGTTTACTTGATTCTATAATAAAAATAAATTTATTTCAGAAACTATGTACTTATACAAATATCCAAGATAAACCAACTAAATAAAATCCCAAATTTATTTCCAGGTCTGAGGACATATACAGTGCACACATAGTGTAATACTATGTTCAGAAGCTACTTAATTCATTTATTGTGCTGATATTATAAATCGGGTATTAAAAGTTTTAGGTTCATTTGTTTTTGTTTATATTCAAATGTAGGTCTTTTCATCCTTGATATAATTTCATTTAAAAAATGAAATTAATGTAATAAATGTAAACCATTGACTTGGCTCAAAATAAGATGTTTTAAAAATATACTCAGGAGGTCTCACTCCCTGCCCTATTCCTTTTATTCTGTTTTCATCCACTGCTTGTGGGTAATCAGTTCCATTAGTTTCTGGTGTAAATACATACAACACACATACACTATTTACTTAAATTTGGGCTCAGCAAAGTATTCAAGTGTATTTGCTAGCAGTTACTATGGATTTATGAATATAAATTTATTTGTAAAAAAGGAAATTTTCTAATTTTTTTCCTGACAAAGATGGCAAGTACTTGAGAGATCAAAAGGTTCTTGAAGATAAAATCTTTATGTAAAGAACTGCATTGCTTTGCATCATCTGTAAGATATTTTTTGATTGTATAAAAGCATAATAGGAAATATAATTGTTAGGTAAGAATTGTGATACAAATCAATACATTTCTTCCATTCTGTTCTATTCCCTTCTCTTCCTACCTACCTTCTCTACCTACCTTCCTACCTACCTCTTCCTTTACTTTCATCTTTATTGCATAGATACTGTACATGCATCTAGACCTGGGGGTACAGATAAAGAACACAGATAAAATCCCTGCCCCTAAGAAACTGATCTCCTATTTGATCTGATCTCCTATTTGAGGAGATAAGATAGTGAATGAATTAAAGCAGAATAGAAAGATAAACTGTCATTTCCTTGCTTTACTGTTGGGTGGTGACAGCAGTTAAGCTGAGTATACAGATCAATAGTCTGAATTGTGTTAATATCCCATTATCCATCTTCTTGGCTTCTTCCTTCTCAGATTCCATAAACAGATATCAGGAAAAGGTAATTGATGCTATAAAATTTCCTTTCTTCTCTTTAACTGACCAAATTTTCTCTGACGTGATATGTTGGATATGAGAGCATTGGGAATAAAGACTGGAAAGCAGAAGCTCCTTTGCAAGCCACCTTTCAATTTATAAATTTGGAGAGGTACAAGCAAAACTATGTGCTTGTGCAAGAGTGTTACCTCAGTCTCTCTGCAGACAGATGGTGCTAGCAGCTGTGTGGTTATATTAGTCACAGGCACAGTGCTATTTGTTAGTCCCATGGCAATTTTGTAATGTTTATGCTTTGTCTCCTAATTTATTACAAACCCTATAAAGTTCCTTAGGTTCAAAAGAGTAATAGTATTGAATGTGTTTAGGAAAAGATAGAAATCAAAGTGATATTAACTTTCACAGATTATGTGTTTGTACTTTATACATATACATTTTATACTTTTTTGAATAAATAATGAACAGAGGATCAGACTTTAGAATATAACCTGTGAATAAGTGTAGGAGTTTCTGAATTTTAAAATATAGGAATTAATCTGTGTCTTCTAGATATACATGTCTGAATAGTGTTGGGTTCTACAGATTTTTGTGTAAGGCAGATATCCTCTATAGTCAAAATGATCTTTTGAAAATTTCTAAAGTGATTTTTGTAGCTCTAATAACCTTATTTTGAAGACTACTGAGTTAGTATCTTTAAAAAGGAATGAAAATGAGCTCTAAATGCACATGTCACAGTATTCAAATTATTCAGCCTTTAAGATAATCATCAAATCTCTGACTTCTAATAGGGGTTGGATAAAAATTCTAAGCTGCCTTTGCTTATCTTCAGGTTGATTTCATGTTTTAATAGAAGTAAGCATATTTATTTTTAGAACTGGTTAATTTTCATGTTGTTTTGAAGAATTAATGAGGAATATATGTGAAAGCACTTACCCCAGGGTTACACAGAGTGGTAAAACATAAATATTTAAAACATAAATATGAGTTGATTTCAAGTCTAAGATTTGCTTGATCTGATCTACCTGCTGCCTGTCACTTCAACTATGCATTTCCTATGACTCTGCTGAACTGCTGTCACACTCATGGCTTGGGACATTGGTCTTAGGGCTCCCTAAGTACAATCACACTGAAGGTATAGGTTCTCAAATCAATATAAAAAACAAATGCATATGACTAGAGTATGTATGTCTCTTTATGTGTAGTTGAGTGCATAATTTACCTTCTCCATCAGTTGTTAAATCTCTGTCCCTTTTCCATTCTTTTCCTACCTCTCACTCATCAGAACCATGAGCCTTCACAATATGACCTGGATTGATTTTCTAGTGCTTTTCATCAATAAGAATATGCAGTGTCAGGGAGAAACTTCTTGTCAATTTTTTTTTTTGTACCTGGGATTGAACTCAGGATCTTGCACTTGCGAGGCAGGCGCAGCCCACTGAGCTAAATCTCTGGCCCTCTTGGCAATTATTTTAACTCACCATAATAGCACAGAAAAAAATTAATACTATCTCTTGTTAATTTCAGTCACTTGAGAATCAGTTGAGAAAATAATGATTTTCTCTGTACCTACGTCTGGAGTTTAATTAAAATTAACACCTAAGAGGAAATACAGCCTGTTTAAAGAAGGAATCTTCTTTAAATATTTTATTATCAGTTTTTATAAATAAATTACAAATATATTCTCAGTATTTAAAACATGATACAGAAGAACACCTCTGACTTCTTTTATGGGCTCACTGATAGTCCAGGACCTTCCTCACTTATTGCTCCTTTGATTAACTCAAAGTTAAACTATTAGCACCTTCATCATGGCAGGGAAATCCCATAAAATTCACAGCAAGGGACAGAAATTCTGATGCAAACTAGGGAACAGGAATCTTGGAAGCCATATCTGAATTCTGCCTACCATAGATGACATAACTTTCTTTACTCAGGTCTTAGATCTATTTCACCTATAGGCCTCCTATCTCTCCTGTAAGACAGCAAGCTGGAAAGGTCAGTAAAGTGCGGTGAGGGTGGAGTCATGTGGACTGGGTAATCTTCAAATTTTCCAAAATAAGAAAGCTTTATACCAGACATGAAGGGCCTTAGGACATTTTATTCCAGGGTAAAGATGTTCTTCATATTGGATATCCAGTAAGAAAGACAGTAAGATTGTTCTGCCTTCCTGAATTTCCTATCCTCAACCAAGCACCTTCCTAAATTAGGTAGGTAGTTTATCATTCAGGCCTTAGGTTCTTAACCTATGATCAAACAGTGCTACAGCTTACTGTTGAGGTGGATTTGGCTCAGGGAGCTTATCAGTCCGGTTGTTTTGTGTCCATCTCTTTAATTTTTTTGACAGCTGCCCCAAGGCCCACTTCTGAGCCTGCCATTTGTTTAATCTGAGCTTGAAAGATTTTGAATTTGTCATTACCTCTGAAGTTGCTGGTCGTGGTATGGTGGTGGAGATACTGGTTGCAGCAGGGTGTGTGTTTGAGGCTTTTTCTCAATTTTTGTCCCATGTGCTTTTATTTTCAAGGAATTTTGTTCACAATTTTTGATCTGTTGACAACAAATTTTAAAATTTTGTTTTCTCATGCTGTTAAAGATTTATTTATTGCAATATATATATATATATATAGTTTTTATTTTAAAAAAGGATTTGAGGTTGAAAGGGAGATAGATACATATATTTAGTTCATCATTTTGCTCTTATTTCTAATTTTGTGGTTTTTGTAATTACATCTAACTTTCCACTGTAGATAGTTTAATCAAATCTCAAATTGTATACACCCTTCTTTGCTCTTGTAATCTTTCCTTAGTTCCACAGCAGAAAAGACAAGAGAAGCATATGGGAAGATAAATATCATTTTTTCTTCTGTGTTCATCCATTTGTAAAAAAAGTTGACTCTGGTCGAAATTGCTGGCTAAAATGCAGCCCTTGCATTACTTCTGGAATACCTCCTCACTTGAATTACCCTTGCTATGATAAGTAAGCACTTTCATTACCTTCAAATGACTGGAACACTTTAATAGAATAGGATTATCATTCATTAAGCCATCAAAAGCAAAAGGAAAGTGGAATCAAATTAGCAGGCTCTCTTAGGGAATCATTGTAAAAGTACTGACAGAGAAGTAAAACCTCACAGAAGATAATGAAGGATTCCAACTGGTTACAATTTCTTTTAAAGAGATAACATGGCATAGTTTAGCCCATGAATTAAGGAGGAGATTTTAAAGAATCAGACTTTGAAAAGGTCATATAAATATTTAAATCAAATTATATATATATATATATATATATATATATATATATATATATATATCAGACAACAAGGTGGCCAAATTTGAACTAAACTTATAGTAGACCTGTGGGCCTAATGCATATAAGAGATCAGAGCATAAATTCAGATCCTAAGAGAATAAGAGTATGTGACATATAGGACAAAAGAGAGCCATTTCACATGTTCTTTCGACAGAAATATAGCAAAGGGAATCAAAGAAAAAATGTTTCAGAAGAAACCAGGGCTTGCAAAATGGGCCAGGTGGAAAGAATATTAATTCTAATATAGAAGGCAAGCATTCAAGGGTGAAGGACTAGAGATTGTAATCCATCCTTTTCTATGCCAGATTGAATGCCATCCATACCATGCCAGGAAAATGTTCTATTTAGGGCCATGAACTCAGTGGAAAATTGAGTAACATCTATAAATTCTATTCACTCCCTTTTCCAGATCATTAAAGGCAGTAAGCTAGTCCAGACCCAACATGGACCCTTGCAACACCTCACTACACATTGCCCTAGAGTTAATTACACTATCATTAATCATTTTGCCCATTGTTTATAATCGCCCAAGCATTTTAAATATAACAAGATTCTTATTCAAGCTTATTTTAAATTAATTTTGCAAATAAGATTTTGAGGTCCCAAATACAATGATCCCTTTGCACCTACACTCGCCAATTATGCAGCACTTTCCCTCTTTCCTCCTTGGTTGTTTTTCTGGTAGGATGTGCCCGCTCTGCAGATCTATCCTTTATGTTAGACATACCTCCTCTTTGCTCTAGTTGTTTACAATTTTTCTTTTACAGTAGATGCACCATAACTTTTCAATCTGTTGGCACAAGAAAAACCAGATGACATTAACCCAAATCTCATTTTTTAAAAAATTGATTATATATTTTATTCCTTATTCATTTCTCTGCTCCTGTCTGTTTTTAGCAATGTGCCCTATTACTCCATTTGAAGTAATGTGCCAATGTACTTCTTTAACACCATTTAGGTACTTTTATGTTTGAATGTGTGTCACATACATTGCCATTTTGGATATCCTAAATGTTTTATTACTTCTTCAGGCTAAATTTTGAAAAGTCACTTTTTTTATTTCTTCATGAAGACTTTATTATTTATTCTATGATTTAAAAATACCAATTTCACATCCTCCTTTCAAAAGAGGTTGTATATTTCTGCATTTATTATTAATTTTATTTTTCTAGGCTCTATCCTTTTCCAGCTTTTTCTTTTTTCTATCATTAACTGATAAAATGCAGTAAACATAGTACACATAGTTAAGAATCAAATAATTCTACAAGATTTGCAATGAAGAATAATAGTCCTCCATCCTCATTCCATCATTTCCCTCTCAGAAGACAAAAAAATTTGAACTATTATTTGAATATTTTGTTATTTATCTCTATGACTTGAAATAATGCATTTGAATTTCTGCTATTTGATTTTTATTTTAGACATTATGTATTGTTATCTCACTATGGGAGATGAAAATTTTGTTCTTTTTCCTCACCTGTTCCTACTACACATGTTCCCTTCACTTCATCCTTCCAATGTGGTTACATCATAGCTTTATCACATTAATATTAGGTCTTATTTATTATGATAATATAAAGAAGGTAGGCAAGGATGTGAGGAAATTGAAATACTCATGTATTTCTAGTGGGGATGTAAAATGCTACAGCTATTACACAAGTCCTCAAAAGATTAAACACAGAATTACCATAGTTCCACTCCTATCCATATATACAAGATAAATGAAAGTGTATGTCCACCTAAAGCTTCTATATGAATACTTATAACAGCATTATTTATTATAGACAAAAGTGGCAATGGCCAGACACCTTCAAATGATGGATAGACAAATACTATATAGCCATACAATGAAATATTGTTCAACCTTAAAAAGGAATGTCAATTGGTGCTACAACATGAATGAACTTTGAAAAATTATACAAAATGATAGAAGTCAGATGCAAAAAAACACATATTATATGATTTTTTAATAAGAAATTTCTAAAACAGGCAAATCTATAAAGACAGCAAATAGATTGGCTGGTTGCCAGAGGATGCAGCAGATGGATAATGGAGAGGGACTGCTAATGAGTACTGTATAGGGTTTTTCCCCCTGGGGTGATAAAAATGTTCTAGAATTAGATAGTGACAATGGTCACACAAAACTGTGAATATACTTTTAAAAATCACTAAATTGTAACCTTTAAAAGAGTAAATATTAATAGAGGAATTACATTTTGAAAAAGGAAAGAAAACAATCTAAGTACAAATTACAAACACATGAGAAGAGTTCTTGTATACAAGCATTATTATTTTCCTTAATTCAAGCTATACTTTAAAAAACTCTTTAACTTTTAACCTAGCTTTGGAGAGATCATCATTGGCAGATTTCTATTAAATGTGAATTAAGTGAAAGAATGAAATCACTTAAAGTAGGCCTTGGTCATTTATTATTTCCCAGGTGGCCGTTGTGTACATAAAGAGAATTGCTTGAGGGCCTGATGGCTTCTCAGCTTCCACACTTGTTCTCATGATGCTCTAGTTGTTAAAATCCAGTTTTTCCAACACCATTTATTAAAGGCTATCTTTCTTCCAGTGAGGATGGTTGGATCCTTTGTCAAAGATGAGGTAGCTGAGTATGTCTGGAGTTGTTTCTGTATCTTCTAGTCTATTCCACTGATCCTTGGGCCTGTTTCTTGGCCAGTACCATGCTGTTTTTTTCACAGTGGCTTTGTAGTATAGTTTCAAGTTGGGAGTTGTGATACTCCCTGCCATATCTCTGTTGCCTAGAATTCCTTTTGCTATTCTAGGTTTCTTCTGGTTCCAAATGAATTTTTGGATTGTTTTCTCTAGTTCCACACAGTTCCTTTTGAAAGTGTGGCCCCAGTTACCTAAAATCTCCCACCAGGCCTGACCTCTTATTTAAGGTTCCACTAAGCCTTTAACACATGGGCATTTGGGGGACACTCCAGATCCAAACTATTGCAGAGGTGGTATCAGTATGTGCAAGATGTAGATGTTCAAGTCACATGGCACTGATAACAATCTGTGCCCCACAGCATTCCTTTCCAGTGCTATGTACTCGCATGTCACTTTCTGTGCCAGTTTTCTGCCCCCTTGGATAGCTGGGACCCCAAAGTCCCAGGGGAAAGAATAACTACCCTCACAGAAGGGAGAGCTGGTGTTAGCCAACAATTCTAGCAGGGCAGAGGGCTCAGTGATGAACCCCAGGGAGGAGTGGCTGGCTTTGCCAATAGAAGGCTTTGAGAGCTGCTCACTGCCACTGCCATGGATTCTCCTTTGTAATCCCAGATGCCTGAGCAAGACCCTGTGTCCCAAAAGACGACAGGTATAGTGGCTTTGACTTTGTGGTTGTTGTTCCTGAGAGGGCTTCTTCCAACTCTACTACAGCCATGAGGCCAGGTACATTTCAGAGCCATACACTCTGTCTCGCTTCCCACTTGCCTCTAAGTGGCAGCTCGAGAAATGGGAGCTTCATCTTGCAGCAGCTCTCCTAGTGTCAAAGGACCTGCACTCAGCAGTGAACATGCCTGGTACTTGGCACCTTTCATCACCTTCCTCCAAGGAAGGTGTGATACACACAGGCATGGTTGAGTGCCTTGGCCCAGCAGTGCCCCTGTCAAAATATGCACTGTTGTAAGCCTTAAAGTCACAGCACCAGTGACTGATCTCATTGTTCAACTCTCCTTCCTGCTGATTGGCAGGACAATGTGATTAAACAGAGCTGAGACCAAGAAGCATCTATTTTCTGGAAATCATATACACCATGTTCTGCATCACTCCTAATCCTTGGGCATGCTCAGAACACTGGAGCATTCATAAATGTTTCCCAGCTGAGGGTGGCTGGGTGTTCATGGGGTGTACTGCACCTGGCTCAGCTGCTCCTGGAATAGGGGGAGGGTTTGTGCATGCTCACCTTTACCCTGTCCATGCGGGCCTCCATTTTCAGCTGCTCCACAGCCTTCTGGACCTGGGAGATGCTAGTGGTACTGTTATTGGACATGTTCTCTTTCATTCTACAGCCCCTGCTGGGAGGTGCCACAGTGACAGGCCCAGATAAGGGACACAGGCTGGTGGTGGCAGCAGTCAGTCATCAGATGAGATTCAGGGCTCACAGTTTGTGGAGGTTTCAGTCCATAATCGGCTGGTTCTGAGGCTGGCAAGGCGAACAAGCATTGCACATGGAGAAACAACACAGCTTGCACAAGGCAGCAAAGATCACAAGAAGAGCAGTAGGTTTTAAATTAGGAACATTATTATCCTCCTCATTCACTGGATTTTTTTTCCATTTAGTTTTTATTAAATTTTCAATCAGGTTTTTGATTAGACAATCCCTGAGAACTTTCTCTGGAGGAAACAAATATCTAAAAACTTTAAAGACTTACAATGAAATGATTAATATTTTGACATTTTTCCCATGGAGCCATAATATGGCTAAAAATGAAACGAAATTTAGCATTCTACAGACGCCAACTGATATCACAGAGAAATGATATAACATGGCCTGTGTGCTGACAGTAAAAAGACAGAACAAAACAGTGTCGCTTTGGATGAAGAGTGTGCTTGTAAAAGCTAGATTTGAAAATTCAAATACTAGTTATCCATGAGAATTCTCCTTTTGCAAGTCATTTATGATGAAAATATGTTCTATTTCTTAAAATTAATTTTGTTTTTTAACTTTCTTTGTAGTTGGTCCTAGTCTAGCTGTCATAGATTGGACTCAGATACTGTACATGTAGATGGCAGGAGAATTGTTTTTCTTTCTTGGCTCACTTACCTCAATTATGATTAAGCCTCTAACTGTAACACATTATAAAGGCTCAGATATGTGTTGGCCAAATTGCTTATTCCAGATAAACTGGATTTTTCAGGAGTTAATTTAGGAGAGAAAATGACAGAGAAAGGGATGTGGTTTACAAGGACAGTATTATGAGCCTAATGAAAGGGATGTTGTATGCTCCTTAGTATCTCCTGAAACTCTAATATCTGTTGACCCGGTTATTCTAGAGATAATTCAAACTTTTCTCTCTTAAAATTAGTCTCCCTTACAATATGTATTTGGACACTGTCAGTGTGTACAATTGACATTTAGAAAAAATTAATCTCAGCCATTCTCAAAAGTGTTTTTAACCCAGCTTTCAGTGAGGTATAAGTTCTGAGTTTCATAGTGAATGTATTTTAGAATTTCTTGGCATGTGAAAATAAAACTCGTTGTTCAAGGATATATCATTTTTTGGTAGCTGCTACTTATTACTTTATATATCTGAGTGATTCCTTGTTTTTTCCTTTGACTTTCGTACTCCTGCTTTTGTATGTCAGTCAATTCACTCACAATCAATTATTCGTCCCACAAATGAGGCAAATTAAGGTCCTGGGCTTCTCTAGGAAGATATACTAAGACTTTTTGAATACATATATTTGTATTTGGAAGTTCTTCCTCCATGTTAAAGAAGCATGTTGAAGTTTCTATGTGCCTGGAGAGGGATGCTACATCACATTTACTGTGCACCTGCATTTCTCTGCCCACGTGAGTGTGAATTGGTATCATGACAAGACTTATTGTTGGCATTTTTACCATTTGTCTGGTTTTTGCACAGATGCTGATTGCTCATTTCAGTTACTTTCACTTCAAATGCAAAAGTGTGAGTCATGGTGGCTCAACAGTGTGAATAACAACTCCTCAAATGGCATTGCTGAGCAGTTTCTGCTTGAGCACTTGAGTCTTTTCTTGCCACAACAGACATACAGACTATGTCCTGCGTGAAGGTAATAACAGGAAAGGGTCTTGAA